CTTCCCTGTAGCCATGTTCCCAGGCATCAACTGTGACTATGACTCTTGCTGCAGTGTTCATAGCTTCCCGGAGCAGGCGGAGTCTACTTGACAGAAGAGTTCTGGCTGGCTAAATCCAGGCCTTTGCCTATGAGGATGTTCTCAGGGGCAGACGATTCTCCCAGGGACAAAGCAGAATGGGGAATCAGCCCGCAATCCCTGGGCTTCTCACCCCATGTCCAGGATGAGAACACTAGCAGGGTCCCATTCACTTCCTCAGGGCTGTGGTGCTGTGTAGGGCAAGAAGAGGATGTGTCCTGACCCAGCACTGGCCTGCTTTGCTCACTGTTCATTGTCCCACCCCTACCCTCATTCTCCTCTCAGCACATAACTCCCTCACCTGCCCAGGCTCCAGATTCTGGGGCCAACTCCTTCCTTGCAGTCATGAACCTTACTTGTGGATGCTTAAGGGGCTCATCTTGTTCAATCCTCACTAAAGCAATGTGAGGTAGCAACACTTTTCCCTTCATACTCCAGAGGAAAACTGGAGCTCAGGGAGGTGAAGTCTTCTGCTCCAAACCACTGAGCAGCACGCAATGGAGCTGAGATGCATTCAGGTCACCCCCCACCATCTGCCTCAATCTCTTCTCCATCAGCCTAGCCACACAGATGGGGCAGGAGGTGACAGTCCTGTTGCACTGTCCTCCAGGGGTGTGTGGAGAGGGCCAGCCTGGGGCCTGGCTCCCCGACAAAGTTTTGCCCAAAGGCATTAGACTAAGGTCTACTCCATGCTGAGAAAACTCAGTGAGATGGAGAGGACCAGGCCACAGAGGCGCACAGTTGGCTCACCTTGGTGTATCAGTGGAAATGACCTTGCACAACAAGAGGAACTTTCATACAGGGTCTGAAGATGCAGGCAGGCCCTGGAGGAAATGCCCAGTAGATTCCCCTTTCTCTACTCATCATACCTCCACAGAGGCTTTTCAGGACACTCAAGAGGATCTTCTCTAGGTGCATGACAAAGACTTCTTAACACTCAGGCCTGCTTCTCCAGAGACAGACTCAACCCAGGACTTCAACAATCTTCAGAGGCCCTAACTACTGTTTTCAGCCTGTCGAGAGGTGTGTTTTAGAGAGTAACTCTTGGTCCTCACACAGCTGGAGTGGAACTCCCTGTCCAGTCAGCTGGAATCTTCCAGACAGGGCCTCTTTCTCTTACTAGATAATGAAAGCCTGGTGGTTCCAGGGGGTTCCTCCGGAAGCTCCCCTACCCCTTCCTGGCCTGGTTCTTTAAGTCATCGCATGCCTGTGAGACAGGCTCCAAGACTGTTTTATGCTTGAGGACACTGAGGGTCGGAAGGTAACATTTGCCAAGGGTCACCCAGCTGGGTGCTGATAGGGCCACAGCCCCACTAGGCCCACCCAGACGTCCAGCACTCAGCTCTGGGGACTCGCTAGTGGCCCCGCCTGCCCTGAGAGGGGCCTGGGCCTCATCAGCTCATTTTGAGAGGGAGGGAGTGGGGGTGGGGTGAGGTACGTGCGCTTAGGAAGCCCTGACCGAGGGTACAGCAGCTCTTAGGGCTTTCAGGGGAGTGGGGTGACTTGGTCCGTTCCCCCAGTGCTTCTGCCGCCCTTGCTGAGAGTGCGCCCGACCTCCAGAGCGAAGCCAAGAGGTGCCTTAAAAAGTCTAGCAGCTGTCAGCTTAAGGTTCGGCGCCGTACCCAAGAGCCCGTATGGAAAGCGCGGCTGGAAGGCTTTGTGCACAGCACTCCCAGCCTAAGGGCCGACGAAGAGCAAGGGGCTACGTGCGTTTCCGCCGCGGCCTGCAACAGGCAGGACCCCAGAGGGAGCCGGCGGGGGGCGCGCT